AATTGGGTGACTGGCAGGTAAACACATTTTCTTCTAGTGAGGTCTTAGCTCCCTGTGTGTGTCCTCTGCCTATGAGAAGCCATTCAATGCCTGGCTTCCATCAAAGGCGGCATCCACGGGGACCCAGAAGCTGGGCAGAGGAAGCTGTAGAGGGAGTATTAACCCATAGATGTGTGGCGATGGCTACTGTACTGCACGTGGGGCTGCTTAGCAGAGCAAAATGAGGGCAGACTGACAGGGATCATCCTGAGCAAGTGGGCTGCTGGCATGGCAGGTGGCTGCTTGGTGGGGCAGGAAGAATGTTGGCACAGGCTTAGAGAAAAGGGACTGGCCTTGTGAGAATAAAGTTGAGGGTCTGTTCCTTGTGAATCTAAGATTACATATAAAAAGGGTTTTTGGTGTTTGCTTTGAATATTGTTGCAGAGATAATCACTTCTCAGTTCTTTCTTGGAAATCATCCAGAAATACCAAGAAGAATGAAAAACAGAACAGCACTTTTGTTTAGGCAAAACTGAAATCCAGCTAAACCCAAGCCCTAAGCAGGAGATCAAGGGCCTGCAGTCTAGGAGGAGTGTATGGTCCAGAGCCATAGCAAAGAGCTCCGAGTGAGAGCCAGCTGCGTGAGAACCACCTCAAGGATGGGAGCCTTTGTGAGGTGTGGTCCTGACCCCCTTCCCCATTTTGCAGCTTTGGGGCAGAGGACTTGCAGAGGGACTATGCAAAGGAGGCCACACATACCTGTGCTTGAAGCAGGAAGGACAGTTGTCACAATGAGGAGAAAGCCCTTCACCCAGAGAGAAGTTGTGGCTCTGATTAAACTTGCCGCAGATCCACTGGGTTGGGACAGAGGAAAGAAAACAGCTCTATCCACCCACAGTACACAGCTTTAGGTGTGAAGTTGGAACTCATAAAAGTCACTTTCAGAGATGAGCAATGAAGGTTATGTTGTTTAAGTTTATGAGACAAGAGAAAAATAGAAAAACAGGATAGAAAAGCTCATAGAAAAAAGTTGACCTCAAGTAGATGAAGATGCATCCACACATTTTGCCAAGAAACAGAGGTTAGCAATCCTTCCAACTGCAAAGCAGGAGGAAGCGTGGTGTCCAGATAGAGGACTAGGTGCAGCCAGGGCTGGGTGTGCGAGAGGGCAGGGGACAGGAAGGAGTGAGGAGAAGGCGCATGGGAGGAGCACATGGAGAGGCTGGGACTGCAAAACCTGGGGGGCCAGCTGCAAGAACATTGCCTATTTAATCAGAAGAGTCAGTGCAGGAGGGAGGTAGAAGACAGTAACAACGTAAATATTATGGGTTCTGGTGGATTTATATATTTAATAAAAAGAGTTGAGACAAGAGGATGAAGGAACAAAACAGAGAATGAGTTTCTCACCATCAGTAGCTAAAGATGAAAACATACCCTGTCAAGGTAGCATCAAGTAGTAAGAGTGTATTTAACTGTGTGTTAGGATTTTCCACAGGCTCATAAACCAACAGGATCTGTCTGTCTAGAGAGGTTGATCATACGGGATGGGCTCATGTGACCATGGAGGCTGAGAGTCCGACAGTTTGCATGATCATGTGATTGTAGGGGCCGGGAGTCCCACAGCATGCCCCTGCCAATAGAAGAGCCAGTGTTGAAGTTCAGCTGGAGGCTGATGGCCTGCAGTGCAGGAAACGGGATCCCAGCCCAAGACAGGGGAAGATGAGCTATGAGATAGCCCAGTGCAAGCAGTGAGGAAGGAAGGAATCCCTGCGCCTTCCTTCTTTGTTCTGTTCAGCCCTAGTAGGGTGGGTGCTGATGCCCACACTGGGAAGGGAATTCTCCTGAGTCCCCTGATTCTAGTGCTCATCTACCCACAGAGAAGGCGTTCATATGGCACTCCCGGCACAGGCAAGTGGACGTGTGGTGTTAACCCACACAAACTATATAAAAAATAAACCTTCAAGAGGGTGAAATATTTGACTAGACACTCAACAGGACATGCAGTCGATACAGCTTAGCACAGGAAAGTATGGGCACAATGCAAAGATAAGAGTTACAAAAGCAGCCAGTACAAAGAGTACACACCGTTCTAAATATTAAGAGAACTACCTCTAAACCAGTAAGCAGTATTAAAATGCTATATAGAAGAATTTAAAAAGCTATAAAAGATGAAACATAAGAACATGATACAATAGAAATAAATACAAACATGAAAATATAAATGGGCCAAACTCTCCTACTAAAAGGAAAAGACTTTCTGGGAAAGTTGGAATTTGTGTCCACAGAGGCCACCTGGAAGTCATAAACATGGAAGCAGGAGGTCTGAGTTTGCACAATAAAGTGTTATGGACAATGGCTGGGCGCATCTCACTGCTGTTGTTAGAGACCTGTGTGGGAGAGGGCAGCACTGCCACCCAGGAGGCACATAAATCTGAAAGCCTAGTGGAGATCCAGCCTCCTTGGCCTGTAATGCGAAAAAATTTGAAATCAAGAACAAGACTAGAAAAAGAAGCTCTTAGCTTGAAAATTCAAAAACAAACAGAACAAAACATTTTGTCTCAAATGTTGGTAGATAGAAGTATAGCTCAAAAATTCTGAGAAATAGTCATAGTGAAGGCACTCATCAGAGCTAGCAGAAAGCATGTATGTTCACGGTTTAAATACTGTGAAACAATACATGGACTCACCTCCAGCAGCAAGGGTGAAAGAGCAAATAAAAGAAACCTGAGTAAAACAAGAGGGCTGTATAAAGGTCAAACAGAAGCTAATAGAGAAAGACAAAAAAACTAGAAATAATAAGAGTCTACATAGCTGTTGTTGGAAATGAAACCAATAAAACAATGAATTCTTCACAATTCTAGTAAAAAATTACTAGAAAGCATCACCACCCAAAATAAGAAGTAGGACTGATTGCCTTGGCATTGTGGCTAGCGTGGACATGTGCTGGCCAGGGCCGAACAGGCATTGTGTGTGTGTGTGTGTGTGTGTGTGTGGCTGGCCAGGGCTGAACAGGCATCGTGTGTGTGTGTGTGTGTGTGTGTGGCTGGCCAGGGCCGAATAGGCATTGTGTGTGTGTGTGTGTGTGTGTGTGTGTGTGTGTGTGTGTGGCTGGCCAGGGCTGAACAGGCATCGTGTGTGTGCGTGTGTGTGTGTGTGTGTGTGTGTGGCTGGCCAGGGCTGAACAGGCATCGTGTGTGTGTGTGTGTGTGTGTGTGTGTGTGTGTGTGTGTGGCTGGCCAGGGCTGAACAGGCATCGTGTGTGTGCGTGTGTGTGTGTGTGTGTGTGTGTGTGTGTGTGGCTGGCCAGGGCTGAACAGGCATCGTGTGTGTGCGTGTGTGTGTGTGTGTGTGTGTGTGTGTGTGTGTGTGTGTGGCTGGCCAGGGCCGAACAGGCATTGTGTGTGTGTGTGTGTGTGTGTGTGTGTGTGTGTGTGGCTGGCCAGGGCTGAACAGGCATCGTGTGAGTGCGTGTGTGTGTGTGTGGCTGGCCAGGGCCGAACAGGCGTTGTGTGTGTGTGTGTGTGTGTGTGTGTGTGTGTGTGTGTGTGTGTGTGGCTGGCCAGGACTGAACAGGCATCGTGTGTGCGTGCGTGTGTGTGTGTGTGTGTGTGTGTGTGTGTGGCTGGCCAGGGCTGAACAGGCATCATGTATGTGTGTGTGTGTGTGTGTGTGTGTGTGTGTGTGTGTGTGTGGCTGGCCAGGGCTGAACAGGCATCGTGTGTGTGTGTGTGTGTGTGTGGTGCCCCGAATTATTATATCATAGCTCTCTTTCAATAACTGCAAAATCCAAAGTAGATTGAATTTTCCTAGAAAGTTGTTCATCAGTACTGACTCCAAAAGAGATAGAAATTGTAAACAGGCCACTGAGGTAGTGTGAAATTGTCACAAAGCAGTCACTGCTGCCATGCCTTGCTCTTCCCAAGAAAGTGGCAGGAGCACATTGAAAGAGCTCACCGCTGGGCTGCGGGCTGTCAGGGTGCAGGTGCCTCTGTGGGCCTAGGAATGGGTCAGAGCACAGAGGGAGGAGGCAGCCCCTTGTGGGTGAGCCATGTGTCCACACCAGTGACTGAGATTCCACAATCTTGTGTGCACACACATACCACACATACCACAGAGGAACCATGCTGGTGATGATCATGGCCAATGTACTAGAATAAAAGCCAGTGGCACCTTCAAATGGAGTATCCTGCTCTGTCCCATGCTGCTCTGACAGTACCTGAGCCTGGGTGATTTATAATGAACATAAAGTTAGTTGGCTCACAGTTCTGGAGCCTAGAATATCCAGGATGAAGACCTGCCTCTGGCAATGAGGTCCGGAGGGGAGTGGGATCTGAGGGCTGGCCTGGGACTATGACACTGACCTATAATCCCTGATGAAGCTTCAGTGGTCCCTCCAGGCTGTTGGCCTCAGGGCCACTGGGTTCTTAGCAAGTCCATATCTAGTTGGAGGGAGGAGCCTGTGGGCACCGGAACCCAGGTTGGCCCTGAGTGAGTATTTGCTGGCACCTGGGTGGCCCCTGGCCAGTGGCCTGCCTGCCTATGCCTGCTCCCATGCCTTGCTCTGCAGCCTGGGTCTGTTGGGTACCCAGGTGCACCAGAGCAGCTGCCGTCCACCTTCCGAGCAAGGCAGGTGGCTCAGTCCATTCTATGGAGGAATCTGAAGTAGCAAAATAAATAAAATACTGTGATTGCTCAGTCAAAGGCTCAGTAAATTTAGAACATTCTTTCCAACTGCCTTGTCCCTGTGCCCCAGAGGTTTCTGTGTTTCCCCTCAGCAGTCCCCAGAATGGCTGTGTCTCAGTGGCTGATGTGCAGGCAGGAGCAGTGAAGAGAAAGGACTGCATTTATACAGTTTAGTGCACCTATTTCCCAGTGGCTTCAGGTCCTGGGGTTCCCAGGAAAATGGTCACTGCTGCAGATGCCCAGCATGCGGTGAGGGTTCTGTTGCTGGGGTGCATAGGAGCATGGGCGCTGGGCAGACCTGGGCATCTCCACACTATGGACTGTTCTTTTTCTTGCAGCTGGAGATGGAGCTGAAGATGCTAAAGTCTCAGCCGAGCTCTGCCGAGCCAAGCTTCCCATTCTGCAGAGAGGAGATGGACACACTCAGGTCAGTCCCTTGCTCAGGGTTGCCGGCTGCCTGTGTGTCATCCCTCCATAGCTGGAGTCTGCTTGAGCCCCTACCTCTGCTCCTCCTTTTCTCTGTCTCACTCGGTCCTTTTCAGTTCCTTTCTGCAGACCGGTCTGTGCTCAGCTAAGTCTTTCTGGTGTCCCTTCCATGGCTGACAACCAGGCCCTGAGCAGCCCTGCACTCAGGAGAAAGCACATCTGTCAGGGTGCCTGAGGAACTGCCTGTGTGCCAGCAGCACCTGTGTGCCAGCTCCAGGGACAGCACAGGCAGTGGTGTGTTGAGGGTTACACAGGCTAACATCTTTCAGAGAGGGAGTCACAGAGGCAGCAGCTGGACCAGACGTGTTTCACACGTCCGCCGGGACCCTCGGTCCATACATCAAGATGAGTTGAAGATGCTGTGAGCCGTGGTTCTTCCAGAGCTGCTTGTTTCCCTTTTCCCCATAGCCAGGTCAGTGTCCTGAAGGAAGACATTCTGGAACTCGAAGTACAGGGCTCTGAGGAGCCCCTCCTAACTCATCAAGCCATGTTGTTGGCCCTGCAGATTCAGTTTCTAATTGAAGTGGCTATGGGTGCATTGCCAGCATCTTCCTGGCATTGCTGGCAGGAGGCACAACTTAGGACAGAAAGTGAGTATGGCAGAGTGGCTGCCTGCCTCTCACCTGAGTGTCTGCCATGGGCCAGGCGTTAGACGTCCTGGGCTTTCCATAGTGGAGCTGTTTCTGATGGGAGGGAGAAACCGGGCCACCAAACCAAGGCAAGTCCTGCATGTGCTGCTGGCATGGCATCCACTGGGTCTCCCTGGGCTCCGTTTCCAAGCAGTAAAAGATGGAGGACCCCTGCTTGTAGGGTTGCAGAGAGTAAAACCAAGGAAAGGTGTGTGACGCCTCAGTCCAGCTGGGGCAGAGGTGCTGGGTGAACAGCAGCTCTACTGTCTCCTGGAGCTGAGGTCTCCCCCGCATTTCCAAGACATGCACCAGCACCTCATAACCAGCTCTTTGGGGATACACGGGGTTCCGGGTTGTTGTGCGTTGGTTCCATCATGTGTTCACTCTGACGCATGTGCCAGGGGTACTGTCGGGGGCTGTGCTGGAGTCACAATGGTGAGCAGAGGTACACACTCTCTTCCTCAGTTTTAGAGTTTAATGAGGACTTGAGGGGACATCATTCATGGGGAACTGTGACTCTAATTGGGGGTGAGAAGAGCATAGTGGCACTGTGAGTGCAGTGATTCCCCCCTCGCAGCTCCCTCCGTGCCATCTTGGGTTAGTGGGTATAAGAAGAGGCTGCTGCAAGCAGGGAGCTGAAGGCCAGGCCTGGCTCAGTGGGGGTTTGGCATTTATCCCACTAGCAAGAAGCCATCAGGAATTAGAATAGAGAAGCAACACAATTTGATGTGTTGCGTCAAGCAAGGGGGCTGCCAGGGATGGACAGGGATCTTGGCAAGGGTGGGCCGCTGTCCCTCAGCCAAGTGCTGGGCAGGCACTTCCAAGCTCAGGAGCTCTTCCTGGGCAGAGAGAGTGGAACACACCTCACACACATCCACTGACTCAGGGGGCAGTCCCTGTCTGAGATAAAGACCCTTACCGTGGGTGGGCTGGGTTCAGGGCAGGAGATGGTTGGGCGAGCCAGAGGGTGCAGCATGGAAGGGACTCTGGACAATTTCCCAGTGCGTGGCCAAAGATGACAAGGGCAGCCATGCTCCAGCCTGTGTCTGCTGCACGAGGAGCCAGAGCCAGGAAGTGCCACCCATGGAAGAGGACAGCCGAAGGCAGGTGGTGGAGTAGAGGGCTGGCCCGCTGGCAGCGGGTGGAGGAGTAGAGTGATAACTGTGTGGCGGGCGTGTTCTGCTGCAGGGCGTCAGCTGAAGCTGCAGAGGGGGATGTTCCATCCTGGGCCCCAGCATTCCTTCTCTCCCAGGCCTCTCAGTTTCTGCAGCCCTATTCTGGCCAGGTAGAGTGTGGTGTGGCATAAGTGGGATTTGGGCAGGATGGCACACTTCGAATTCGTTCACGTCTAAGACTGGGAAAGGGCCTTCCCCTGACGTTCGGCATGCCAAGAGTAGAACCTTGACAGAGAACGCGGTCAGCATGTGCCAGAGGCTCTCTGAAATGCGGCAGCCTCCCTAGTTCTTCAGGCACTTTGTCCTCCAGCTGAGGAGGCCTGAGGGTGGTGTGGGCTCTCACATGTACCATCGTTCCGTATGCCTGGGGGTTTGGAGCGGGTGACAGGAATGCCCAATGAGCAGGGCCTGTACACCAGGACTTGATCTGGACAGGTACATGGTGGAAGATGGGCTGTGTTACTGTGCCTGCTCCACACTCCAGGACAGCGGAGGCTCAGGATGGACCAGCGTAGAGTTGAGCTGCTGCCTGACCAGTGTGTCCCCAGCATTCCCTCCACATGCCCCCTTGCAACTCCCAAGGCTTCTCTCTTCTATAGGGGCAGGTGTCCAGGGTTCCTTGTCCATTGCAAGGGTGGCTTCTAGTCCTCCCAGCCCTTCCTTGCCACACTGCCCTGCTGGGTCCCACCTGAGCCATCTCCCTAGTACAGTACACTCATGGAAAAGACACATAAAGTGTATGTAAATTGTGTCACATGGCTCAGTTTCCCATCATGTTACAGGATGGGTTCAGTGCATCAGGAAGATGTATTGGTATTTGTTGCCTTCTGTTCTCTTGAATAAGAACAAGAGGTTGCCATGTTTTCTCTTAGGGCACCATCCTGTGATCACACGAGGCTGCCCTTCTGGCAGGGTAGTCAGGGTAGGGTTCTGACTAGCTGGAGACCCCACCAAGAAGCTCCCCAACTCCAGCGTCCCAGCTTGCCAGGGATATTGGCCATGTTAGGGGGCGGCACTAAGGATGCTGTCTGTGAAGGACTGGTCCTCCTCTGACCCCTCCCAAGTGAGTATGAAGTGAATTTCCTATGGCCTCTTGCTATAGGGTGGTTTCTGAAGCAGTTGGCTCACAGGAAGACCGGGGGCCCTCCCCCAGCACCATGATTGACCACAGGGGAGATGGGCAGGGTGGCAGATGATTGCTGGGCAGACCAGGTGGCTCACAGAGGGCACACTTACCTAGCTGCACTTGCTACCTGTGGGCAGGTGGGGAGGCTTGTGTTGCTGGGGTAAGCCAAGTATATCCAGCACATCACAGCTTCCTTCCAGCATGGAACAGTGGAAGTCTTGGTGCAGATTGAAGTGGCAGCAGCTGAAGCCCTTTCAGCTGGAACAAATCTGGGTTCGTTATTTTCTGCTGTCAAATAGCAGCCCTGGCAAATCCTAAATGTTGTCTGTGGATTTAGCAACTGGGTAGATTTTCAGTAATTCCAGAAGCTCACATGTCTGTGCCAATGCCTGTTAGTCACACTTCGGATCCTGCTCCTTTCCCAGCCGTGCCACTGCCTGCAGGGTTCCGCGAATGTGCTGGCATGCCCAGGCTCTGGAGACACTGAGGTGCTGGCCCACCTTGGCAGACAGTGGGGCATTCTGAACCCTTCCTCATGTGCGCTCATGGAAGTGTATACCAGAGATGGGGCCCTGAGCAGCTAGCTGGAAGTCCATTGTCATTATGAAGTGTTTTGTCATTATGACTTTCCTAGGGGATCCTGGCTGGGCTGCTTTGCTTTGCTGGTAATCGTCCTGCTGACAATTACCATCTTCTCTTCTCTTGGCCTGGTGTCCTCTCAGATACCTGGGCCTGGCAGGTGTGACCCTGTGCCACCAGCCCCTGGAATCACATCAGGCCATCACTGGAGGCTCAGCCTCCCAGTTGGACCTTAACCCCAACCCCAACAGGACAACTTTGCCCTGCCTTGTGCAAGGTCTTATCCCCTGCCCAGGAGCTCTCTGCTTTCTCTCAAGAGAAGGAGCATCTAGTACTCTGCGGAGACGTTAGGTCCTTCCCATCCAGCTGGTCAGTGGCAGCCCTTCTCCTCCCAGATCCTCCCCCTCCACCTACAGACCTGGGCAGATACAACAGGCCAGTGAGAGAGGAAAGCGGCCTGCTGTGGACCCAAGGACTGAGGACAAGAGATCCTTTGCCTCATGTGTCCAGGAGAAACTCTCAAGACCACACATTCAGAACCAGCCACAGACACAGAGAAGTCTCTAAGAAAAGCCAGATAAAAAGGAGAAGCAGCCTAAGTGCGGGAAACCTTTGTGATTGTGTCCACCTGACTGGCTATGTGCTGGGAAAAGAGATGGCCCTCTAACCTGCCCACAGAGGGACATAAGCAGCTCACATGGTCCCCACTGGTGCCCATGTGGCAGGGCTGGAGCCAGCTGTGGTCCCTGCTCCACTGAGGCAGGTGCTGTTCTGACTGTCCTGCTACGGTGAGGTCAGGTGCTGTGTAGGGAGCAGAACCTCCATTGCATCCTCAGCAGAGAGGCAGAGCAGGATGGTAGGGCAAAGAAGGAACCAGTGTCAGAGACTTCCACACCCTGGCATGGGGCCATGGGAGGTGGCCCTGGTTTCCCCACCTCTGATGTCAGCCAGACACTGAGGGGAACTGAGCTCATGCCCACCTGTCTACAGGGACTCCACTGTGCTGCGATGTGTCCATGGCTGGTGACACTTTCTCCTGCCCCAGTCCAAACTGGTCACTAGAAGTGTGCCAGACCCCAGAACCTCAGAACACAGAAGAGAAACAGCTGAGTGGAGACTTGGGCAGATCCACACCTGTGCCCAGGATGCCTGCCAGCACTCACCACAGCTGGCTGGGCGGGGGAGCAGCTAAGATGCAGAACTAATTGAACGTCACTGTTGCCTGACAGGGCCTCCCCAGCGTCTGCAGCGACTCTGTGCATGGTTTCCTCATGCCCACCGGGGGTGTCCACTATGACCAGCCGTTTTTTAGGTCATAAAACAAACCTTAGGAAAATTAAAGGAATCAAATCATACAGCGTATATTCTCTGGCCACAGTCAACTCAAAGTAACAGAAGAATAACAGGAAAATTTCTAAACATTTGGAAATTA